CAGGAAATTTTGAAGTACTGTCCTACCTTGTCTTGGCAAAGTTCAGCAGTCACCTTTTCGTGTCCTACTTGTCCAGTTTGGGCAGCATACTGTCAACAGCTGAGGCAAGGACAACTTCTTGCCCAGTGGCTGGCTTTGCCACAATGAAAACAAACTCCATATGGAGGTTCTTTGATGGTTATCTCCATTTTTTGAAGCAAATTTGTGCTGCCAGGAGCAGAGATGTCTTACTGTCATGAAAAGCATTAGGTTCTTAAAAAATCTTAAATGACATACTCTGTAGGTTTCTAAAGTGTTTAAAGTGTCTGATTTCTAAAATATATCTGTTTGACCTTGAAAACATGCCTAACATTGCCACAATATTGTTAGATGACTACTAATCTGTATTTCTTAATTATTCTAAATAGTTTGTAATAATAACTTCCAAAGACTAGAAATTTACATTACCTTGTTAAATTAGTTGCATAGGTTAAACAAAGGTAGAAACATACACACATACATATGTGCATATATAGCAAAAATAATCCTAAATTTATATCAATATAAAATATCTTAAACAAGAATAGAAACATATGTAGAGTATTTACTAACAAAAAATAATTTTAAATTTTATTTTATCAATATGCAAAAATCCATACCACTGTAAATATTTGAGACTAGTGGCTGTTTTAAAGTAGACTCAACAATCCACCCTTTTATTCCATCATTTATGTCACCCCTTTGTTATCTTTTTTTCAAAAGGGATTCCTGAACACAACTTTTGCTTAGTTTTCTCCCTGACCATGACCAGTAATAATTTGCAACCAATCCCCCCAAACAATGATAATCTACCAAGTTATCAAAAGTCACCCACCCTACCTCTTCAGAATGCGGCATCATGTTCTCTAGACTGCTTCCTGTTGTCTGTGGGTGACAGCATCTGTAGAACCTGAGGAAACTGAGATAATGGTTAAGTCCTGGGGGATCTAGCTATATTATTTTTGTTTAATCTCTGAATGCTGAGAAAGTGTAGAGCTTATCTGAAACCTTGGTTGCAGTAGTTTGTGAGGCTGGATCATCTCAGCCAGTAGCTTTAAAGTTGTTCTAGATGTAGATTTTTGAGGAAACTGTAACAGAGACACCTGGGATTTTTTTGTTTGGTTGGTTTTTGTCTTCATTGGTGTCTGGTCCTTTTGTTCTGAAAACACACAAACTTATAAAGATAACATGTGTATCTTCATTGACACAAGTATAGATTGTGCAGTGTACAAAAGTTAGCTGAAGATTTTCTATTTTCTGTTTGAACAGATAAAATGCATCTGTCGACTTTATGAGTCCATTTGGACTGTATAACAAAACCTCTATCCATGGCATGTGAAAGGATGGCATGTAAGAATAAGTCATGAGGACTCTGTAGCCAACAAGATTTATCATGTCTCATCCAGTCTCAAGGCTGTTCCTATATGGAAGGAACAGTATACATGCCGCCTATCTTATAATCTTTCTTGGTTTCTTTTTTTTTTATGTCTGTAGCCAAGATTTTCATGATATCTACCCCAATCAAATGTGATTTTCATTAATTTTGAAGAGAACCATAACTTTTGAATCCTATGGAAACAAAGACATAACCTCTTTCCTACTGCAAAATATTATCTGACTTCCATTTCAAAATTAAGACTTTTTAAAAATATATAGGTTGATTTAATTTAGCAACTTCCGTAATCCAATGCCTCTGAACAGCTATTATTTTTTATACATTACCATTTAAAAAATTCAAAGTCAGCAAAGTACCATACAGGATCCAGGTGCCATGTGTATTTCTCATCCTTTATGAGGCTTTATTTTTTAAAATTACTTTATACTTTCTTTAAAGACTTCATTTTATCATTTTAAGTCATTTTTTCTATGACCATCTATATCCATTTTCTTTCCTTTCTTTGGTGTCTAAGCACATTTTTAAACATATTGTACCTATTTTGAGGGTTTTTTTTTGTGTGTGTGTGTCTGGGCCTGACTTTACTATTTACCTAAAGCATCCTCTGACCGCATGAGACAACTCTTAAACTGCCATATCTGCTGCTATGCTGCTCAGCTTGGCATATGGCACTGGCACATGGCACTGGTGGGTGGCTCCAGCCTGCAGGTAGTAACAGGGAGTCGTGTCTCTGTACACCACCAAGCACTACCCTGGCAGAGAGACTACAGGACTAGGAATCCACATCCTCTTGTCCAGAACTTTTCTTAACTTTCTTGAGCCCTATGTTTGGTATTCGAGCATCCACATTGAATGCCATATGTAATGAACTTTTATCCTACCAACCAGCTTCCAAATAATGACACAGAGAATTATTATTAATTAAGAGAACTTGGCCTTAGCTTAGGCTTGTCCCGCTAGCTCTTATAACTTATTAATCTACTTACTTTAATCTATGTTCTGTCATATGGCTTGTTACCTCATATTGCCATATTGCTTATGTTGCCTCCATCATGTCAGCTGGTGACTCTGTCTTCTTCTCCCCAGAGTTTTTTCTCTGCCCAGAAGTACTGCCTATAACCCCTGCCTAGCTATTGGTTGTTCCGGTTTTTATTACACCAATCACAGCAGTATATTTTCACTCAGTATACTAACATCCAACAACAATAGGTAGATGGAAATATGGTGAGAATCATCACCTACCCTGTCACTGATGGCATCAGTTATCCATGGATATGGTGCTGTTTGGGCTATTTCTATATAAAACAGATGTAGGGGTAGGGTAGGGGTAGGGTATCTAGGGATTTTACTGGCCTTCCCTAGTATAACAGTAGGAACATTCACTGCAGGAGAGAGAAAACATACGCAGGAATATTGCCAGTAACTAACAATATATATTTCTGCTTTGTATTCTAGGAATAGGAAAATGAAAACAGGATGAGTCTACCATGTCATTAATGAAGGAATTTGGCCAATCAATGTCTCAACTATGTATGTAAATACTCTGACCAATGGACCATAATACTTCAAATCTAGGGATCAGAGTCATTTGAAAGCCAGTTTCTAAGACTCCCCAGTGGTTCTGGGCCATTTACATTGTCCCAAAGACTCACTCCTGTTAAAGAGCACACTCCCTGTGAATGTAATTAGCCCCCATAGGCTCACAGGGAGTGGCATTATTAGGAGGTGTGGTTTTGTTGGAGTTGGTATGACCTTGGTAGAGGAAATGTATCAACGGTGGGGGTGGACGTTGAGGTCTCAGATATGCTCAAGCCACACCCTGTGTCTCAGTTTACTTTCTGTTGTTGTTGGGTCAAGATGTAGGACTCTCAGCTCCAGCACCATGTCTGCCTGCATGCCTCCACAGTCACAGCTGCTTTGCTTCCCACTGTGATGAGGATGGACTAATAAACCTCTAAAATTGTAAGTCACTCCAATGGAATGTTTTCCTTTATGACCTTCTGTGGTCGTGGTGTCTATTCACAGCAATAGGAACCCTAAGACACACATACAGATCCACTCCATTCCAACCATTATTGGTAGAGGCCATATTTAGTATAGGATTCAGTTAAGTACATCTGGTAATATTCATAGCATCGATACAACACATTAAATCCTGTATCCAAGGCAAGAACGTAAATTGAGCTTTATTTATCTTTCACTTCATAATTTACAGTTATATAATCCTTATAAAATGTACTTTTATGCATACTCTTCTCATACTGATAAAAAAAAAGACATGATCTGCAGCTCCTCCAGTGTACAGGCTGATTCACAACAGGTCACACCTTGATTTTCCTACAAGACCCTTGCCTTAGTATCAGTTCTAACATGTCTTCACACTTAATCATCATACTGCTATATAAACTATAGAGAAAGCAACAAGCTGATCTTGGGAAATGAATATCCAAAGCTTTAGTTACCAGGCTCTGGGCATTGACTTCCTTCTCTGTTTACCCCTTGCCTTCCATTCCTAAGAGCCAATGTTCTAGCCAATGGCTTCACCGGGGAGTCAAGAAAGCTCATAAAAATCCTTCACTTGGCCCTACCTGGCTATTTCACCCTCCCCACCTTCTCAGTTCTCCTCAGAGATGACAAATTCTCCTGAGCTATGTTGAAAAAAATCTGGTTATTCATATTTCTGTGTAAATCTGCCTGTGTCCGTGATTGTAGTTCCCATTATATCAATGATTAGCCTTGTTCTAGTCTAGTCTCAACTGGATTTTTTTGTTTAAAAAAATTCTCAGGTTGTCTGGACTATTAATCACAAAAAGAAACAGTAGTATAGAATCTTCTTCTAAGTGTCTGTTTCCTTAACAGCAATTGACAGGCGTCATGATTTTGCTATGTAAGAAAAGATTGTAGATATGATAGATATAAATTGCTAAAATAGCAAATGTTTATATGGAACAAATATTTATGATGAATTTGTTAATCTCACTACTTGAAAGGACAACATCATTTAGAAAAGATTAGAATGAAATACATATTTTTCTATAATTCTGTGATAGAAGAATTAAAAATATATTTATATCCCCATTTTCAGTTGTTTTCTTCCCCAATGTTTTCTATTTAGTCCCTCATATCTGTTTCACCATTATCTACCCTGTCCTTTGCTCTAAAGCCACGTGAACTTTGGTTCTTTGCTTCTTTCGAGATTTTTCCCATTGAAGAAGGCAACTGGAGCAAAGCAGAAGTGTGAAACTGAGGGTTGCTTTTCTGGCTCTTGACGTCATCTTGGAATGATTTCAGTCCTCTTGGTAATCTATTTATCTCCTTTCCACTCTGTCTAGGCTCCCGAGCTTCTCCCTCCCTGAGCACATGGAAGGCTGTGGGATGGATGCAGTGTGTGGCTCTAGCCCTGGACCTCTATGCTGTTCCTTCTGTTTCTCTGCATCATGCATGTCTTAGAACAGGTCCTTTTGAAAATAAACCCTTCTTGAATCATGCTATTTGGAGTGTGCTGTCTCTGGATGCATTGCTATTCATCGCATATTCCAGACAGATATGAGTCAAAGTGATTATTGAGTTTATTGAGAAGCGGGCTGACAGTTGATGGGATCAAGTCCATCAAGTTGATACTTCTTACAGAATCCCAACATTTACCACAAGAAATCTCCTCCATAACTAACATTTCCACTGTTTTCCTTGCTTCATGGCATGCAATGCAGATTTGGGTTTGTTTACAGTGTTTTCTTGAATTGTGCAATTAAAAGGCAAGAGTAGACAACAAAAGTAAAAATAATTCAAATACTTATAGCAAAATACATGTATGTACAGAGAATAATTACACTCATAAAGTATATGTTAAATAAATTATTTTCATTGAAAGTTAAGCCAAGGTTTTGTTTGGCTGTTGTATTTTGACTATAAAGCATTTAGGCTTTTTTTTTTTTAAATTTAACATGAAAATAGGTTAAAATATTTTCTTTAACTATTAATCTGAAACAAAATTACAGATTAATACTAACCATCCAACAAAGGTTCATATGCACAGAACAAAACAAATATTAATGGAATCAGAAAAGTGGTTTCCATATTACATGACCTCTGTATTACTCTCTTAAGAGAGAACAAAATGCTCATCACCATGGGTATTCCTGAAACCCCCTAAAGTACAGTCCCTCGGGCTTCTATAACTTTAGGTGGCTTATCTGTGCTGTATTTACTTCTGATATCTTCTACTTCACTATCTTCAACAATAAGTGAAGCCAGCACTGGAATCTGTGAGAAATAGTTTTTAGCCAGGATGTGTTTGTGCTTGATCTTGTGGATAAAAAGGCGTCCATATTCCTGCAAATAAAAGAAAATAGAATTCTATGGAAAGCCATACATATATATTTTGCCAGATGAATCATGGCCATGTCTTAGAATGGGTTTACTTACTTACTTACTTACTTACTTACTTACTTACTTACTTACTTACTTACTTACTATATTAGTACAGCTACATTTATCAGTTTATTCAACCTAAAATGCCTTTTCTTCTCACTATGTCTCTTTCAGAGATTTGTTGTGATGATTCAGTGTAAAGTCTACAAGGGAACTCTCCTCTCTCCTCTCTCTCTCTCTCTCTCTCTCTCTCTCTCTCTCTCTCTCTCTCTCTTTCTCTCCCCACTCTCCCCTCTTAGGCCCAATTAATACTGTTGTTATTAATTCTATACTCTTTCCCCCTTCCCCGCTTCCATCTGTATGTATAGTAGTTACCTGATGTAGGGTAGGATGTTTTCAGGTGTCTACGTTTTAGTCCAGTGGCATGTAACATGTGACAAATTTATATATGTTTACACATGCATACATTTGGACAAATCTGATTTTTTTTTTTAAAAAAAAAAGCATGTTAAGGTGATTTCTTAAAAGGACTCATATATCAAGCCACCCGATGGCCTTTGCCATGCCTGGGTAGGCAGCTATGGCACTGATGAAGCTACCATCGTTCACTGTGACCCCATATGCATGAGGGAGAAAGCCAGAGGGCAGAGGGCACGGAGGGAAAGGCTGGAGGCTGAGTTTCTGTAAACATTTTGGAGACGCCACCCTAGCTGAGAACTGCCACTCCTGGCCTTGTTATGTAAGACAAATTCTGATTTGATTATACCATGATATATTTTCTCACTGTCTTATTATAGTTGAACCTAAAAGCAACTGAAACAATGAAAACTTATGCTCATTCCATTTCTTTGTTTTTCTTTTTCTACTTAGTACTTTACACGATATTTGACACATGGTAGCATGAGTAATAAACTCAGAGAAAGATATTGGGGTTCAATCTGAAGAGCAGAAAAGCAAAGCAGTCAGCCACTGGCTCTTACCTTGACCTCAGTCTGAAAATGGTGATCCTGCCTCCAGGAAACCTCATAATGAGACTGAAACTGAGAGCTGTCTCCTCCCATTTTTAATCCTCTCTAGTTCTGGGATTAAGGACATGTACCACTACCTCCTGGTTTCTATGGCAAACTAATGTGGCTACTGGGATTAAAGGTGTGTGTCATTGCTGCCTGGTCTGTAAGGCTGGCCAGTGTGGCTTGTTTTACTTTTCTGATCTTCAGGCAAGATTTTTTTTACTAAAATACAAATGAAATGCCACCAAAGCAATCCAAAGTAAGTTCTGCCTAAATTAATAAGCATCAGCTATTCCTTTCAATGCTCTCAATCAGATGTCTGTTCACGCACACACAATGCTACCTGTGTCTCCTTTAATTTTTATTTTCTGAGAGTAAGGCATTCTGCACTGCAGAACCTTTATAAGGCCAACCAGGAAAGTCAAAGAAAGCTCTGAGAACAAGAAAGTGTGCAGTGGGAATTGCCTGGCTCACAGTACTTTCATAGACAGAGTTATTACCCAACATAGCCAATGCCAGACACTAAGTGGAGATCACTTAGTGGTCTATTTGTTTAAAAAAAAAAACTTCACTACGGTGAGACAGCATCATCTCCTTGCTATAGATAAGAAAATGAAAGCATTAAAGGATTAACAAATATGTCCAATCCTACTTCATGAGGTCAGTGTAACTTTTATTCTTTTTGCTAACTCCACATTTTTAAAATTTCACAATGCAGAGACAGTAAGTCTTCATGTGCATACCTTGACAGTGAAGTGACAAGGAGGAAAGAATCTGGGACGTGGGAGATGGCGTTTTAGGGAGTCACTGGCCCAACTTCATCCAGTTTGCCAGCTATGAGAGAGTTCCTCACTCAGAAGTCCTTCTTCTCTCTCACTGCAAGGAATGGCGATCACCTTATACTCGGGGGGTGGGGGGGGGTTGGGGAGCATTTCTTATGGTGGGGATTGCAGTTGCTGTTTTGTGGTTGCCTTTGTTTGTTTCTTTGCTCTGTTGTTGCTTTGGGGGTATGCATATCCTTTAAGAGGGTTCTGGAAATGCTTTGATTTGCTGCAAGAACATGAACTATTCAAAACAAAATAGACAGTACGGTGTGCAGGTGTGCAGGACAGCGCAGGCCGGAGGCTGCTGAGAGAGGCAAAGGCTTGACACGAGCGTGAGGGCCTCTGCTCCACTGGCAGAATTCAGGATGACTAGCATCCTGAGATTAGAAACACTCCTGAATGGAACATTTAATTTGAGACTTCGGTGATTTGATTAGGTACACAAAGGAGCTGTGTGGATTAATTGAAGAAGAACCGAAATATCAGCTTTGGGAATGAATTTCAGTTTCATCGCGGGGCCCTAGATGAAATGATATTGCTAGTGTTGGCTGTGCTTCTAGTGATTAAATATTTATGAAGCAGCTTAGTTTACTAAATATAACATTTAACACAGCTTCAATTTCTTTCTGCCCTTTCTTTCCATCCCTAGAGTGATTTTTTTTTTCACAGCCTGGCTTCTTAGAACCCGAAAATTATTGGAAAAGGCAAAAATTAAAAGGAATTTCCTCTCTTTATGGAATTTCCTCAACTTTTCTTTAAAAAACAAACAGACAAACAAACAGCAGTGAGAGTCTTGGGACAGCACTGTTCAGAATGGCTGCATTTGATATCATCGCTTTATTCTCCTTTAGCTGCATCTTGTATGTGGCGTTAAAGATACAACAATAAATCGAGAGAGAACTGGGCCAGCTCTTGGAATTGCACTTGCTGAGTGTCAGTGGAGCCCTCCAGGAATGCTTCAAGGGCCCCTAAAGTTTATTCATCAGAATGTGTTACAGATTTCATCTTGTAAGTTGCTGAAATTAAGTAGCAGTTAAGTTTTGCAGTGTGTTTTCCACTCCTAGTTCGATGGAAGCAAATGGAGGATGGAAACTCATCAGTATGGCTGCTATTTAGATCACAGTCTGAATAGAATTTATTTGACAACTGAATACTTTTGTAGACAGACTCCTACTGATAAATCAAAGAACAAACTCTAGGTTCCATAATATTTATATGTTGATAATAAACATTATTCATTATACAGATACTTACTTATTTGGGGGCTTATGTGTAGTATGATTGGTAAAAACTCAGATACTGGGATTCAACCTGAAGGTCAGAAAAATGAAACATCCAGCCACTGGCTCTTACCTCTAGCCCAGTCTGAATTGGTGATCCTGCCTCCAAGAATCTCAGAACGAGACTGTGTCTGAGAGGTGTCTCCTCCCATTTTATTATATCCCTCTCTAGGCTGGGATTAAAGGCGAGCACTGCCCATTTTCTATGGCAACTAGTCTGGCTACTGGGATTAAAGGTGTGTCAACACTGCCTGGTCAGTAAGACTGACCAGTGGAGCTGTTTCACTCTCTGGCAAGCTTTATTTATTAAAATACAAATGAAATATCAATACACTTATTTTTTTAATTAATGTACAAACCGATAAGTTTCATCCTGGCATCTTCAAACAAGAATGTCATATACTTGGCTACTGCTCATCCCACCTCTTTTCTTTTCTTCTCCAGGCACTGCTGGCTCCTCCTCTCCCCAAATAGTCCCTCTTCTACTTTTATGTGGTTTTTATTTTCAAATTTTAGCTTTCATATGTAGAAGAAAGCAGATGCTATTTGTCTTTTCACGTCTGACTTACTTTAACACTATGTTCTGAATAAAACTCTAATTCACAACACAAGCATATGTACGTATATCCATTCATCAGTTGGTTGGACCTAGGTTAATTCCATATCTTGTCTGTGGTCAACAGTGCCACAGAAAACTGTGCACAGGTCTCTCTGTGGTATTCAGTCTTGGATTCCACTAGGCATATACTCGGAAGTATCATAGCTGCATCGTATGGTAGTTCCATTACTAGGATGTAGAGGAATTCCATACCGATTTCCATAGTGGATGCACCAGATAACATTCCACCAGCTGTGCTACACAAACACACACACACACACACAATTAAATATTATTTGACAAATATTTATCAAACTTCTGGTCTTCTACAGTCATTAATATAGGTACTAAATGTATAGAAGCACATAAAAGAAACACAGTCCTTCACAGAACTTGCTGTGAAATGGATATGCTCGAACTTGTTAGGCGAAAGCAAGATGATGTTGGATACTTAGACGTTTAAAGCTCTCACCTGTACACACCATATACTTATCATCCTTCTAATTTTCACACCTGAGAAACAAACACACCATCCACATATTTTGCTATTGTCACCCCATATATGAGTCTCTTGATTCAACAGAAACTCTTTAGACTGTCATGGGTACATTAAAGGGCACTCAAAATGCCTGCTATCACCCTGTTGGCTGAGTTAAGCTTTCAGAGGGCAGCATCTTACCTGCTCAATATTCTCTAGCTTGAGATGAGCGGCCGCTTCGTTCTTGGTGAGAAGAATGCAATTCCAGGGAGACCACTCCACGTTCTTGTCCCACCTGACCATGACCAGGTCGTTGAGATCATCCCAGGCACTGAGGATGGACTGGGATGCCCAGATGTTCTCGGTCAAGTACTTAATATCTTGGAGCTACACGCCAAAATAAGTTTGAACAGTCATTTTATTTTCTTCTAAATAAATGGTTTCAAAATCATCATATGAATTGGAAAAAATAACTAAGTTTTGTTGAGTGAATTTTTAAAGGGGAATGGTACTTAAAAGACTTTCCTTTCTTGTACCACAGCCCAAAATTTGTCGTCTTTCAACATCACCCACATGAAACTGCAGTGGGACATCTCATTCTCTGACTGTGACTGCCAGTCTCCTCTCGCAAGCATACTCCATCGTCCTTGCTGTCACTCTTCTTAAGCATCTGCCTTCCTTTCTAAGATGTGACGTCTGATGTACCAGTGAATTTTCAGAGCATAGTATAGAACTTAAACACCAAGGGCACATCTCTGCGTGACACCCAGGACTGCAGTAGCTGTCTGCTTTGGGAAATCCTACGTGATGTTCCCCAGACAAATCTCTATTCAAATGGATCAAACTTCATGTCAGCACAGCAGCCCCTTAGATAACAGCCTCTCTGACCAGTGCGTGTCGTGACTGGCACCATTCATAGACCATACCTGCATGAGGAAAGCAATCTGAGCGTCATCCCCATAGTCAGCTTCTGAGAAGTAGAGCCGCTGAAGCAGACACTTGTACTTCAAAAACGATTCCCGCTTTTGAATCTCGTTCTCAAGGTTCACACAGTGACGGCAGCGGTACACACGATGTGAGGTGGGCGACACAGAAAATTCCACGGACGGCAAATACAGCTGGCAGCTGTGGCAAAAGTAAATCTTATCATAAAACTTCAGTGGGTCTTGAGGGACCTAAATAGAAGAAAAAAAAAAGGATGATGATGAAACTCCAAACCACACACTAAACAGAAATACTGAGGACTACTTAGAATTAACTCTAAAATCGGTGACTTTAAAAAGTCCCATTTTCCTTTTAACTGCCTGTTCTGTATAAGATTTAAATTTCGAGCAAGTTTCATCTTCCTGAACAAAGTATTAAAACTCCGTGTTACTCTGTAACCCCTGAAGAGATGATGCCAGAGTAATTAGAAAATCAAGTTATTGACTCTTATTACATTTTTTAAATATTTTTATTTTGTCTATTCCTGGGAACAAGGGATGGCTCTCTGCACTCAGTGAGCTCTATCAATATTATACTGAAAGTTGTTTCCTGAGTGGTGAGGAAGGAAACTAAATCGACTGACGTGGAAGAGGCCGAATGTAAGGTTTATCTCGCGGCTGTTGACCTGGGAGCGTGGCAAAGGCCGTCCGGCTGTCTTTCCGTCTGCCATCTTTCCAGTGGGGAATCTGTTGCCGTCCTTGTTTTTTGTCCTGCTGTGTAGGAGCTGCTCTTTCTCCCTGGCCATTGGTGTGGCTTGGTGTTGCTTCCTTTGCTCCTTGTACTTCATGCTTCCCTGGCTTGTCTACAGGCTTACGTTTCATTCCTATTCAGAATAACGCTGATCACGATTTTGACAAAGCGTTCCCTCTTTCCTTCACTCTCCTCTAGTTTGAGATTCCGGCACATACTAAGGTACCTGAGCTTTGCCCACAGTTCGGTGACGCTAATCCTGGTTTTCATTCTGTCTCCATATGTGCCATGGGTTTTATTGTCTTCTAGCTAAGTGATTTTTTTCTTTATCAATATCACCAATCTCTACTTGATTTAACATTGTATCATTTTTTTCAGCTTAGGTGTGGTAGGTGTCGTCTTCAGAAATTTTACACTGTATCTTCAGTATCTTCACTTAATATTTGAACATCTGAAAAATTCTTAACAACTGATCAAATGTCTTTTTCAGCTAATTCCAACACATGTCAGTATTAGGCCAGCTCTGAATAATGATTTAGATACTTTTTTATTTGTCACATTTTGTATGTATGTTTATAAGTTTTGGATGCTAGACATGAATTTTACTTTAATCGTGAATATTTCTTATTCTTATCAACAACCTTGTAATTTTTCTGAGGCACAGTTAACTTACTTATAACAGTTTGAGCCATTAGTGTCTCGGTTTTAAGTCTGTGGTTTTTTAAGAACGAATAAAGCAACTCTCCATTTGGGAGTAATCATTCCCCGCTACTGCACCAGTGCCCTTGGGGACGCCATCGCCGCTTCTCTTCCCTTGTGCTGTATCTCAGCCACTCTTTCGGGGCCAATGGTGTGGGTTAGGCTTCCTTTTGTTTTTCTTCTACCGGAAATCGCAGTCTTTCATCGCCTTATGTCCAGTGTCTTGAAAAGCACTGCTTACCTCTCTTCACTGCAAGCAGGGGAGCAACTCCGAGCTAGCCAGTGTTTGCCAGAAGCACACAATAGTGAAGTCATACGTGACATAGGCATCATGACAATTCAGTCAAGATTTGGCTTTTTTATTAAAAAAAAATATGAAAACAGTTGACAAAACTACACAAGAAAATGGCTGTGACTACCCTTTGTAGTGCAAGAGAAATAAGAAAATGTTTCAAAGTCCCAGTTATACAACTTAGAGTGGCAAAATTCTAGGGTAAAACAGAAGGCAGCTCTTGCTCCCTTACATTAGGCTGATTTGTTAAGTATCATATATATATATATATATATCCTTTTTTATTTTTTATTATTTTTTTACCAGTTTTCTTGTTTTAATGTTTCTTCAGAGATGGTGAAAATACTGAAGTAACTGAAGTACAGACAAGGAACAGTCATAGTGTTGTAGTCAGTATTATAAATATGGAATTACAAATTTAAATTTTTTTGCTTTAAAAAATAAATCTGGCCACCAGTGCAGCTCGGTGAGTCTCTATGATCCTGATGGTACTAGTCTTTATTCATTTTCTTAGGTCCTCCATGCTAGTCTCTTCTTCCTCCCACCTGCTCCATCAAAGGACCACCTCACCTTCCTCCACCAAAGTCACCTGGGCCCATGTCAAAGGCACTTCTGAAGCTACCTCTGTCTCCACCTCGGCCACCTTTGAACATTCCTTCAGGACAACCAAGATCCATAAGTCCACCTCTTCCTTCCTGCATGCCACAAGGGCCACCTGGACCTCAGTCACCACCGAGAGGTGGTGGGAGGAAGCCCTTGGACTTATGGGCCTTACACTGGCTGTATTGTCTTCTCCAGGTGAAGTTCTGGTTTCCACAGCACAGACTGGGATACTGCCAGTCTCCAGCTCGGTGCTGGACATTTCTTCTTCCAGAGAAGCCCAGGGTCCACTAGAGGGGAAGCCGCCTCTGTCTCCTCCATGGCCTCCCATGCAGCTCCAGGACCTCTTGAATCAGCAGGACCTCCACGAAGTGGTGTGGCACCCTCTGCCCTCACAAGGTGGCATCTCACCCTACATGTTCTTTACTGGAGACTTATTTTTAGCAAGACAATCTTTAAGTTTGCTAAAAAATTTTTAAAAAAATCTTTCCCAGGCTAGAGAGACAGCTCAGCGGTTAAGAGGTCCTGAGATAAATTCCTAGCAAACACATGGTGGCTTACAACCAACTCTAGGAGGATCTGATGCCTTCTTCCGGCATAAAGGCATACATGCAGATAAAGCACTGTGGCATCATGTTAGGCTTTCTCCTTATCCAGGTAGATGTGAGCGTGGGTTACCCAGTTCTCTTGTTCATCTTGACAACCCCACACTGCTCAAAGAAGTCTGCCAGGTGATCCAGAATTGCATTGTCCTTTTAACACTATTGTCAGAGTCTTCATCAGGGTCTATAGGAAGATCTGGCCCTTCATCTATGGATCTGCCAGGCGTATGGAAGCCACCTCACTCTCCAGCACTGCCAGTTCCATAGCCCACTCCATTCCTGCCCACCCACCTCTGCTCATACTTCCACCATCAAACCCCCCTTCCCCTGCCCCAGTGATCAGGGCACTCATGCTTCAGAGCTCTCCTGTGGCATTAACCCCCCAGACTCCTGTCCATAAGCACCCATGCTACTGAGATGGTCCTGTAGAAATGAACCCAGCTGCCTGTTGCTGCTGCTCTGTTGGTTGTATTGACTTGGAGCCTGGCTGTAGCATCCAGTCTGATGGGGGAGGGGTGTAAGTAGTGGGAAGCTGCTGCCCATTGCTGTCTTGTTGACCGTAGCTACTCTGCTGCCCATAGCTTCCAAGTTGCCCGTTAGCTTTCTGCTGAGAGTAACTGCTCTGATAGTAACTAGTCGGCAGTGAAGAGGAGTAGCTGGTAGAAGGATAGGATGATGGTGTGGTAACTGGCTGCGTGGGGTAGCTCCCAGGTACCTGGGAATAACTGTAGTTACTCTGTCCATATCCTAGGCGGGTCTGGTTATAACTCCGTGTGCTAGCTTGAAGTTGACTAGCCTCTGCCGGCTTGTTACCAGCCTGTGGTCTTGTAGGTGTGGTGGCTGCCGGCTACTGACCATAGTCTGGGTAGGCAGGCTGGAAGCCATATGCAGACTGAGCTGCATAAGAGGCCTGGGTTGTGGTGACTGTAGCAGTGGTTTGTGTCATGAACAACAGTGCCATATCTTTGGACAGGCTGGCTGTGTGCCTGGTGGGCAGTGGGAGAGGCAAAACGCAGGAGGCCGTCCATTAGGAAGTCACATATGCAGTCTGCCCATAGGTGGCAGTAGTATGAGCCTGGGTATAGCTGACATCAGTAGGCTGCCCATAGGTTCCATAGTTTTGTTGCCCATATGCCTGGGCTGTCTGTGTACATCCTTGAGTTGGCTGGGCGGTGTAAGCACTGTAGCCCTGCTGGGCTGCTGCTTGATTATAGGAACTGTAAGCTGTGGGTGTCATTTTCTCTCCTTCCTCCTCATGATCCATTTTTAAAAAGGTTAAATGAAGTTTCATCAAAATCAAAACTTTCATCATGTTAGACATAATTAAAATGAAAACAAGCCATAAAAGGAAATATTTTCAATGCACATTTCTGAAAACTTATGCAAAGAATATATTATAAATTCTCAAAATTTAACGCAGAAAATTTATAATCCATTCAAAACAAAGGGGTGGTAAAAGAGAGAAGCACAGGAGTTTCATCAAAAACATGTTCATGTCAAATGAGTATATGAAAGGAGTTGTAGGATTATTAGTTATTAGGAAAATATACACTAAACTATGAGATACCACTACACATTTGGTGAGAATTCTCTGAACGAAAAACTGCTAACACCAAGCATTGATGAGGCTACCAAACAGCTGTCAATCTCTGTTACAGGAAGTCTTCCTGGTGCTGGTCAGATAGGTAAACAGTTCAACAATCTCTGCGTGTCTTCATGCATCTAGTCACTGATGCTTATACTTTCACGCTAAGTGCTAAAGGAAGGCAGACAAGGCACGATGGGAGAATTGTAGAGGTGGAAAGGCCAGCTCTCTCTGCAGTCTCGTGTGTGTGTGTGTGAGAGAGAGAGAGAGAGAGAGAGAGACAGAGACAGAGACAGAGACAGAGAGACAGAGAGAGACAGAGACAGAGACAGAGACAGAGACAGAGACAGAGACAGTGAGACAGAGAGAAATTCAGTTTCTGAAAGCGAACAGGAGTTGGCTGGAGCAAACAGAGCACAGCAGGGCAGATGGGATCAAAAACTGGGCCGTGAGAGATCACAGCATCTTCAATCCTGTGCAGCAACTGGAAAATCAATTTGATTCTTAGAAAAGAATTCAGGGCTGAAAATTCCTGTGCAGAAGAGGTTAATGGGAAAGTTTAGTTTATCAGCATCACTAAACCCAAAGGTCTCGCCGAGTGGACGGTCTTAGTTAGATTTGTAATAAAGCATAGAAGTGAACTTTGAATGTCTTTCAAATAACAGTGCGACACCATGGGGTTTGAAAACGAGTGCAGGAAGAGGAGTACCTTCAGGTATCTTGCCACTTCAGGATTGAACAGGGGGGTTTTGATGTAGTGGAAAAAGAGTGTCGTAATTCTTTTTCTGAGTCCTTCAAGATTATGAGGCTTGACTCCTCTCATCATAAGGTCAACTTCTCTGTCAATCAGTTCTAGGATTTCTTGGGTCAGTTTACATTCGTGTTCCTATACAAAACACAGAAGTGCTCAGTATAATTATTTTAAATCACTATTTTTGAAATTACCACCCAAACAAACTGGAATCCACATTCCAAAACATTTTTAAAGGTGACGGGAGTAAAATTTGGTACAACCAACTGGGGACCGAATTAACATCCAATAGTTGGCTTGATAATGTGGAACTTATAACCCAGCGATTCTTTACGTAGGTGCTTTAGAGAAATGCATCTAAAAAGCTATTGTTCACGGTAGCCAAACGTTAGAAATACCTAAATATTCATAAGCAAGTTGAATATATAAATAAATCATAGTTTACCAATACAATGGGCTTTATGGAAATGAGTAAACTATACGATAGCTGTAAATTTTAATTCTTAAATTTTATGAAGTCAGCAAAGTGAACTGGATACAAACTGTTTCATTCGGTGTAATTTCACTAAAGGTAAAAAGTAAAAACACTGAACCAAATTATTTACAGGCTAGACAGAAAAAGCAAAATCATTAAGAAAAATCAAGGAAAAGGCACCCATGAAAGTGACTGTCCATTGATGATTACTTCAAGGACACAAAAGAAAGTCTAAGATGAGGAAAGAAAGGGGTGCAGAGGACACAGAGGGGTGCAAACGGACATGGAGGGGTGCAGACGGTCACAGAGGGGTGCGGATGGGCACAGAGAGGTGCAGACAGGCACAGAAGAGTGCAGACGGGCACGGAGGGGTGCAGACGGGCACGGAGGGGTGCAGACGGGCACGGAGGGGTGCAGACGGGAACAGAGGGGTGCAGACGGGCACGGGGGTGCAGACGGGCACGGAGGGGTGCAGACGGGCACAGAGAGAGGCGAAAGGGCAGAGAGGGGCACAAAATACACGGCTTAGCAATGTTGCAATGCTCTGTTCAACGTGGCTAAATGATTTATCTATTTTCCACACACTTATTTTATCATTCAACGTTTTTTAGTAAAGTACTGAAACTGAGTAGTTTGAACAGAAACTTCAGGTAAGAGTTAAGGGCTGGGGACTGTATTCATAAGCAGTGAAGCAGAGTTAAGTCCGGTCCACTATCTGGGGGAAAACAGATGGAACACTATCTGCGGGAGACAAAAGGTAAAGAGAGTGATTGTAGAACAATCTCTTTCATACTTATTCTAGATACTTGGCAATATTAATAGATTTAAAAGTCGAAAACAGTGGTGCCTCACTTCAAGAGCATTTTAGATGGGCCTTGGGGAAATCCGAATAGATTTTTGTTAATACTGCTTTCATGCCTTAGGATCTAATTCAGCGTCTCTGAAATGGTATCTAGACCTTATTTTTACATATAGTCACATGCTCACAATTAAGCTGTCTGTCTCTCTTTGTATCTGTCTGTCTCTCTGTCTCACTCGGCCCTCTGTGTTTATCTGTCTCTGTCTCCCTCTCCTCCCCTTCCCCTCTGTGTGTGTATGCCTGTCTGTTTCTCTCTCTCTCTCTCTCTCTCTCTCTCTCTCTCTCTCTCTCTCTCCCACTCCATCCCTCCCTGTCTCCCTCTATATGTGTGTGTGTATGTGTGTGTGTGTCTGTCTGTCTGTTTGTCTCTGAAACTCTAGGTGATTCTAAAGTATACTCAGGTCTAAAATTCTTTGTTCTTTATATAATATTTAGTGTATAGTTGAGTGGACAAATATAACTATACTTGTTTAAGTAGCTTATTTAAGGTTGTCTTATGTCAATAGAGTCAGAATTTAAGTTATGTTTACACCTTTATCTTTCTTCAAAATATAGTTAAATAAATTTCATCCAAATAGTTTGGGTTAAATGAATTCAGGCACATGTGTCACCTAGGGAATCCATCCCTGGTCTCTTTGGTTGACTAGGGACTGGTCCTAATTATTAGGTAGGAGGATTTCCTACATGTGCTCTCTTTTCCAACCTGGTCGTTACATGACCCTCTAGAAACATCCTTATTTCTCGCCTCTCACCTTTGCTTCTCCTTTGCTATCTAAGGAGGGTTCTGCCCAGGCTGTTTACAGCACCAACATCTTTGCAAAGGTAGCGCAGAGAAAACGCAGCCTCACCTCAGCTCTCCAGATAGGCAGAGAACACAAAACCTGTGAGCCAATTACCTAATTCTTAGTGTCTGAGTATCACTGTGTGTTGGGGCTCTGATTTTACTCAACAGAAGAGTTCTTTGTAGTTAAGGGGCAAAGAACCCAAATGGGGCATCTACAAGTTACGTTGTAAAATTCTCAAGCTTGTCATCAGCGGATTGGTTGGATTGGGTTAAATATAGCCAGTATTTTTTCAGTTGTTATGTTTATTGAAACACTGTTTTTTATTGAAGTGTCTATATGTACTTGCTTGAAACTATGGGTCACATTAACGACAAAACTGACTGATCATACAGTTAGTTATTCTATCATTAGTTATTCTATCGTTACTTGTGTCCAAACTTTAATGCATAAGGATGATCACTCATAAACAATTGATGTCACAATTAAGTCACAAAGGGGGAAGCTGCCAAGAACTTATCTTCAAGAACTCAAAACGCAACTTAGAAACCAGGTATTGTAGCTAATTCTCTCATTTAATTTCCCATCAACTCCAATGATACATACCCAAGATGACTTTCATTCTGAGCCGTCAAATGCAAGAATCCTATTGGTCCTAGGGATACTGGAATGCCCCCTTTTAGGAATATGGGGAGCATATACCTTGCAGAAAATGGAGTGTCTTCCCAGACCCTCGCGTGTCAGGACTGGAGCACTGCCAGCTGTGACATGCGGCAGATAACAATTCTTCACTAATGCGCTCCACCCCTCCCCGTCGGATTGGCCACTTCTGAAACCTGGCTATCTTGACTGAAGATAACTACTATATTAGCCCAAACACCAGCCGTGCCCAAAGCCATGGTGTCAGGTGTCATCTCAGGAATATTCTAAATGAAATAATTAATCAATTAGGGAGGGAAAAGCCTGAGGATTTCCATGTGAACCGGGAGTAAATGCAAATGAAAAGTAGATGGATTTCTGGCCGAGGTCGAGCTCAAGAAAGAGCTACAGCAGGTTCAGAGAAAGAGTCCGAGTTCGTTCATCTGTTCTGTGGTTATGTACTTGGGATGGAATCTGCTGCAGTTGGCACGGCCTCCTTTACACTTATTACCTTGAGCTGTGAGGTAGTGTAACCAGGAAGACCTCGTGGACGCCTCTGAAAGTATCCTGGGGGTGGGGGGCGAGGACAGTCTCGCTTACTTCTTGGCAATATTTTGCCTCCTGTGCCTTAAACTTTGGGCAATTCAAATTTAGAGGTCCTAATTCCTACATTTAAAAAAAAAAAAGCTTCCGGTGGAGGATACACTGCTCCTTTGAGCTCTAATTCTCCTCAGGTCGGGAGCTCTGAAGAGGACAGTGTCCACATTCTTATAAAGGGAACTGACTCCGATTTCCTAAAGACATTGGTGGTGTTACAACCCGCTGGGCACAAGGAATCATGTACTCGACGCTCAGGTCTGGGTATCTCCTGGTAAACACCTGCACGGTTTTGAGAGAAGAGCGTATCGATCGTCCTGTTGTCCAGAGTTCTTAAGCCCCACAGACTGCAAGGTTGTGAAACCATCAGTGTTAATCCAGGGCGAGGAAACATTTAAATGAATAGCAAAGGGACAACAGGGGAATCTGTTGTGGCCTTGATGCCTATAAGTACAACAGGGTACGTACTTTGCTCATTAAGCTCTCTACTATATTTTTATTTAGAAAAAAAACAAAAACAAAAACAAAAAACCTCTATCCAAATTGTAGGAACTGATCGCCAAGCAAGGAGATTCAAGCCGCAGCTGCCACTGTCCTGTACTGTCCTGTAGCCGGACTGGAAGCTCTCACTCGCCCCCTCCTGGTGAGTCGTGGGAAGACAACCTCGACTTAGTCATCTGTGAGTGCTGCTTCTAGAGACTTAGTTTGCCAGGGCAAACTCGCACCCTTAATTCAGTGAGATAAGTGAACAGTCCTGCCCCTTGCTCTGCCAGCGGGCAAATCCTCACAGCAGGCTCAGCTTCAAGGTGCTGGTGAGGCTGACGCGATTGCGGCGGCTCTTAGTGTCCCAATGATCGATCCAAGCTTTCCTCTTCTGAACACGAACATTATTCCTGTCTACTTTCTGTATGCCCGGGGAAATTCTGAATTCAAATCCTTCTCCGAGTCTATGTCTGAAGGAAACCTGACCCATGAGATCCACTATCTAATTTTTATTTAAAAGCAGAAAATTAATAATGGGGGGGGAGGCAAACATACTTACTTGGATACGGTTTGACGACCTCTAAAAACAGGGCATCCAGGTGGCTCAGTGAGTAAGGAATGCGAGCATGATGACCTCTCTTCCATCTACCCAACTCAGATGAAGGAAGGAGAAAACCAATCCTAAAAATTACCCTGTAACCTCTGTGTGCGCACTGTGACGCACATGCGCAAACACGTGCACACAATACAACAGATGAAATAAAATGTGTAGTGACTGGAGACAGCTCTTCATTGAAAACTGCCCAAAATGTAGACCATAATTGCTGCTTTTTCATTCCAGTTTTAAAATCACACCTTGCCTGGCTTCTATTATTTTTTAACCCATACACCCAAGAGGCTATATAAAGGTGAATGTGCATTTGAATATGCAATGCTTAGATTCTATTATTATGTCATCAAATACATATATCATTTCTGCAAAGCTGCAAATCGGACCCACAACTTTGTGCACAGATTTTGCAGTTTTGTTAAGGATTAATTCATAAGCCATATCCATCCCCAAATTTACCAAAAATAATTTAGCAGTTTATACAATTTCACGTATGCAAGCATTTGTTAATAACTTTACAATTTCATAAGGGAAAGAACTTGTTGATTCCAGTCTCCTGCTGACCTTTTTTATTGATGGTGACCTTGACTTGAAGCCCAAGAGGCAATGTATACCCCTTCACTTTCACCGTGTGACAGTGGACACAATTTCACAGTGTGACAGTGGACATACCTTCACAGTGTGCTTCAGTGTCAGGAGAATATCCAGTCTCTCATCCTGAGAAAGGTCTTTCAGTATGATACACTTGTAGATGCTTTGCAACTCTCTGGCTCTTATAGTGAACTGTGTGTCCATTTCAATGGTTTGGCCATCGGGTCTTCTCCAGGTCTTTGGAGCTGAACACTTGAAAAGAATATTATTGTTGCAATTACAGTTAATTGAAGACTGAAAATAGGAATTTTGTCCCATCCACTAGAAACCTGTCTTAAGTCATGACTAAAAGCACTACTAAAATCTAAGAAAGATGATTGAAGAATTTATAGACCACGGAAAAGTAAATTATTTATCTTTTATAAACTGTAGCTTGAACTTAGGGTTTCTTATATGCTAAGTAAGGGCTCTAGGACTAAGGCGTAAACTCCCAGAGCTCTGGATTAAAACATTTTACTGTGGGCTGGAGAGAGTGTGTGCTATCTTACAGAGGACCCATGCTCTATTCCCAGCACCTGCGCCAGGGGGAAGAAAAAAAAGACAGATCAAGACAGTGCTGGACACCAATGAGCATATCCTGTAAGCAAGTCTGAAAACTCCCTGGGGATAATGAATCTGAGTCTGGTGAATCCTGGAAAAATGGCCTCCTGGTTAGGCATGCTTAGGGCTATTACAGAGCTCCCAGGTTCAGGTAAGGGCCCAGCACCCTCTCTCAATCACCGGTAATTCCAATTCTAGAGGATTCAAATCTTCTGAACTGCACAGGCTCCTGCTCACACATGGTACACGTTAACACATTGAAAAATCAAATCTTTTAAAAACATTTAAAGTACCTCCTCAGCAAAGAGGCCACCTGTCAGTCTTAGAAAGACATTTGGGGAGGGTAGACATTTATTCAGTCGGCAGAAGGGAAAACACATCTCAAGATTGAGAGTTTGGAGCTGGTTTACATTACTTGGTATGATGAGTGGCTATGTCTATATTAGAAACTGTTCATTGACTCCACAGGGAGAACAGCATACAGTTAGCATGTGTAATTTTTATTATCTGTCTAGCTCTATGTTGACTATGTATTCATGTGTCCTGGTCAAGCGCCTTACCAATTGAAGACAAAGTTCACTGAGCAGATGTGGTGGTGATCCTCACTATTTGAAGATCTCCAGATGTCTCAGAAAGGGACTGTGTGAGTTATGTCTTAGTATCTCACATAGAATAAGTCTGTAACAAGTTTAAATTGCATAACAGAGCAGGATTCCACAGTGAAACAACTCTAAAGTGTATCTGTGTGTTCTACACCCTCAAATTCAACTAACCACAGATCAAGAAATACTTGAAAAGAATTGTACCCAGCTGAGCATGATGCCATCTGTCTACAAGTTCCAGCACTTGGGAGGTGGAGGCAGGAAGAACAAGAGTTCAAGACCAGCTTCTAAACAGGAAGTTGAAGACCTGCATAGGCTACATGAAAACTTACTAAAAACCTCAAAAAGTGATACGGACCTTTTTTGTTTCTTGTCATTGCTCCCTAAACAAGTCAGTACAACAAAACACTATTTACATAGTATTTACGTTATATTGGAAGCTGGAAATCATCTGGAACTGGGGGTGTAGCTCAGTGCTCAGCTGACAAGCACATAGCCCTAATTTCAGTCTCCAGTACTTAAAAAAATCTGGAGATGATTTAAACTACTCGGGGATGGACATATATTATAAGCAAATGCAGTGTCCTTTCATTCAAGACTGGAGCAACCGTGGATTTTGGTACCCACAGACTCTGCAAACCAAGCTTTTGCACACATGAGGGTCAACGGTCTTAGCAGTACTATAACCACTACTACCCAAGTGTTGCAAAAACTTCTCAGTTTCTATTGACAGATATGACATAGAGCAGCCCACCCTAGGGTGCGTCCTGAATTGAGGGATGGGAGATCAGGTTCCCTAACAGTCAACTAAGGATTCCAGGGCTACAAAATCAGAGACACAGCATGGGGTCGGAATCTGTCTCCTCCTACTAAGGGTTTAAAAGCAGTGGATTCAGCTAGATATCCCTTGGGAAGCACTCGCTATTCCCATAGGGCTGCTCTATTTCTTTGCCTGATTATAGTCCTTCAGAAGCAAGCCTGCACTGATCACAATTGCTGGCTTTTTGGATAGTGGATGTTTTTGTAAGCTGACTAGTCATTGCTTTGAGGACCTTGTATCCTGATGAATGACATAATTGTAACCATTTACATCTTAGTGTGGTTTAATTGTCAATTTAAGAAGAGTTCTCTAAGTGTTGGAGCAAATCAGTGAAAATTCATAGTGATACTAGGTTGCATTTAGAATTGCAGTTTACAATGAAGTTTTAATTCAATTTTAGTTCAATTAGTTCAACAGTATCAATTTACTTCCATTGTCTGCATGTTAGGTTGGGAAATACAAAGTTACCCCTTACAATTATATTTGATATGTCTTCAAAACAACAGTATCCTTATAGCTATAGGCAAAATAAAAGTTGCTCAGAGCTAGTAACCTCCAGTAGAAACTTCAGGTTCTCCCTTCAAGTTGTGATCTGGGGAATGGCAAGCTGTGGCACTATACCTGGTTTATAATGTCAGAAATGGAATACTAGGTAACGTTAGTTAGACATCTGATGGGCTCAAGATGAGATGGCTGAAGAGCTACAAAAGTAAAATGTGGAAAAGCAAGATACTTTAATTGATGTCTTGTAAAAACAACGCAATTTTACAACTGAGAGAGCCTTATGCTGAGTATTGTGCTCAATTATAATGCTTCTTCAAGCTCATTTTTAATGTTTTAAGGAATAATTACGCTAAATTTCATCTGTAATATCCTGAAGTCTAACTAATATCTTAATCTTCATATGCTAATTTCCTCAGCATGACTCTATAAAATATAATTTCTTTTCTACCATTAGGAAGGACAATATCTTTTACTTGGCAGGCTGGCAACTTATTTTGCTTGTAATAATCCTTCTAACAACATGTTTCTGAAGTGTCTACTTTATATAAGCTATTGTGTGTTGGCAGTTGCTACACCATTTTATTCTACTTGCAAATGAGTGTTGATCACAATTACTGGCTTTTTATGGCTCTAATGAATGCAAGATACTACAACAAGGTCTTGGGCTTTTGCAAATATAAATCCAAATCCTTATCTTTTAACTCTGAAGTCAAGCCTTACATTTCCCAAGAAATGTTCTCAAGTACTACAGCTGGAAGCCATAGCATCACTTACATTTGAAATCCTTTTACAGTTACACACACACACACACACACACACACACACACACAGAGGATCTCTATTTCAGTAACTCATGGCAAAAGGAAATTGGATCTCAATTGTTCAATAAATATTTTATGATTTTAAAATTTTCCGAAGAAGTTTTAAGAAGTAAATTTCTCAGGTAATTCTGCATATTTCACAGGGTCCATGGTGGTCGTTTATCCATTTAACAAATGCTTATTGTGTCTGCACTAGTTAGTGCACTGGGCACTGAGTAAATAAAATGTGTTCCTGATTCCAACAGCTCTCAAAATCTCATGGGATATAGAGGTAAGAAAATAACTAATTAGAGAAAGAACATGGTTGAGAGCTGCAGATAAACAGACAAGGATGGGCTGTCTGTAAAGCACTTAACTCCTAAGAAAACCATCCTACAAGGAAAGCAAAAGAATAAACGAGACTTTGCCAGATTAAAGAGAACCAAATGATATAATCAGATAATCCTATGTATGAAATTCCAGTTCCCAAGAGCTGGCACAAACAAGATAGATAGATAGATATAAATCTGTTCAGCAAAGCTGTTTTTATCTTTGGCTGTCCTTCTGCCAACACTGATAACTTCATCTTCAAGTACAGGCTTCTTTGATTTCAGGCCTTAAGATTATTTTTTTTTTTTTTTTACTCTGATGAGGGAAAATGTCAACTTCGCTTATTTCTCTTTCCTAGTTCCTTTTTTCTTTGAATGCTTTGGCTATAATAAGAGATGTACAACAATCATGTTCTTAAATTGCTTCAGAAATAGAAGCATAATAAATTCCACTTAGCTGCCAACAAACGCGACAGCAGAGGCTGGGGAACGGAGGAACAGAAGAACATCAGGATGGAAGGGGAGGTGGGAAGACCACAAAGGCCTCCAGAGCAGCAGGCCTTCCCGTGAGGAGAGGAAACGGCTGCACTGGGAGAATAGCCCTTTTCTTCCTCCAGAATTAATTCTCAGGTCCCCAAGGGTACAAATTAAGCATAAAGTTAAGCCCCCCAAAAGTCACGGGGTGGTGATCAACTTTTCTTTCATACAGCGAAGGGGTTCTATTCACCCACAGTGCCCCCCTGTTATATGCACAGCTCAAAGAGAGGTAGATGAATTTTTCTATCCTATTAGCCATTGGCCACCTGAGCATTTACATGGCACGGTTCACAAAAATTGCAGGTTTTTAGGTTTGTGACCGTAAGAAATGATGTATAAATCAAGGAAATAAAGGGCCTCGACTCTAGGGAGAATCTCTTACAGAAATGCAGATGATCTTTTCAGATAGTTTGGTAAAAACACACCCAAAACATTAAAGCTGGAAACCAACTGGTGCCCCTTCGTTTAGACGTCACAATGTGAATTCCCTGACTCAGCCAATCTGTCAGGTAAAAGTGTCGGACAATCTGCAGAAGTTAATGTTTGCTGTGGTAAATTACCCGTTAATTAATGCTTTTAAAATCTTCAGAGTGGGGGCTGGAGAGATGAGATGGCTCTAAGAGCACTGGCCGTTCTACCAGTTCCCAGCAACCATGTGGTGGATCACCACTGGAACTGCAAGGTCAGGAGTTCAGACACTGCCACACAGACACATGGGCAGTCAACCACCGATGTACATTAAATTAAATTAAATTTTTAAAATTCTTTCGAGTGAAATTTTTTATTAAGAATGAGAACTATAAGACCTTTAGTTCAATTTCTTGATTAGACCAATGAAATCATATCAGTCATTATTCAGAGAAATAGTATATTCAGAATAAGACAAATAATAAAATAGGATTTTAATAAATCCCACAGTCATTGGACTAAATGAATTTAAACTGAAATCAAACATAAGTGTTTATCCTCTAAAGTTATTTCTAAATCATAAGAAAGTAAAATTTAGCTTTAAATATCTATTTTACACTGCTTTTGATGATAACTATTGCATTGTAACTCTGTTTGCTTGTCATTTTTAATGTCTAAAATAACTGTGACCTTGACTGGCTTCTGGGGTAACTATAAACTGTTCTATCAGCAATCAAAGGAGTCCCGTAAGATATTAAGTTGCTTCAGCAATTATGAAATGAATTCTGACTCCTCCTCAGTGTTAGAGATAACAACAGGCATGAGGTTGTAGGGGATGGACAGACATGGAGAAGAATAACTATTTCCTACACGCACACACATGCTTTGATTTAATGTTTTATTTACTTAATAATACAGTCAAATAATCAATACCCTTTCTGCCTTCCAGCTGTCTCCTGAGTCTAATTTCCAGGGCAGCATTCACAGTCCAACTCCACCTCCTCGGCGTCCCCACCAAACCCCTGTCACAGGGCAGATCTTATTATGTTCAGAGTCCTTCAAGACTTCGGATTCCACCATTCACAAAATATTTAGAAATCAAAACCAGATCTGCTCCATAGAAATGTTTAGAACAATATTTCTCCATTTTACCTTTATTTAGATGAGATTCATATAAAAATCTTCTTAGGAGGCTGCATATAGTTCATGAGAAAGGATGACAATAAATAACTCTAGAATCAATTTCAGATTTGTGCTTTGACATATATATATATGTCATATATACATATATATATATATATATATTTGATCCACATATATAATTTCAAAACCTGCTTAGAGTCAGTCCTAGAAATGTGGCTCAAAGATATGGTAGCAAGGTGTTAAATACATAAACAAGAAGATGCATTATACAAGAGTTTGCGGCAGAATTTAGGAGAATTACCTTACAAGACATAGAAAGACATCAGAATAGCATAGAGGGAAAGCCCTGAAGAAGACAAGCTTCAAATAAGGATGCAGGAGTGCTACCTGCCTTTCTTGCCGTTGGTACCCAAAAGTCTCCATTTCTCGCAAACATTCAGGCTACACCAGGTCCTTGCCAACACCTCTAGTAAGATTAAAGGGCGTGTGAAACCACAGTTCCTAGTCAGAAAGCGGGTTCGAGAGAAAGCAACTTGTTCAACCAATGAATTTAGTTTGAAATATGGTTGTGAGAAATAATGTCCTGGTCATTGTTCTATTGCTGTGAAGAGACCCCACGACCAGGCAACTGTTACTAAAGCAAGCATTTATTTGTGGGCTTGCTTACAGTTTCAGCAGTTTAGTCTAGCATTATCATCGCAGGCAGCATAGCAGCAGGCATGGAAGGCAGGATGTTGGAAAAGTGGCTGAGCGCTCCCTTCTAAGCATCAGAAAGAGAAGCAGAGAGACTGGGCTGAGCATGAGCGTTTTGAAAGCTCAATCCCCACTCCCCTCCCTGTGACACAGGTTCTCCAACAAGGCCGCCCTTCATATTCCTTCTAATCTCAAAGAGTTCTAGTCCCTGGTGACTGACTAAGCATTCAAATGCATGAGTTTATATGGCCCATTCTTATCCAAACCACCACAAATATGGATATTACAGTTTTCCGCAACTGTCTTTCCTAGAATGAAGATATTTGAGAATTTTAATGGTGGTGCTGTCTATATGACTTGTTTCTTATTTGGAATATGAAATTCAGGCCATTATTTTCTGCTCATATTTTCCTGTCTTCCTCCATAAGCATGTACTCATAATCTATGTGAGGGATGTGTAAAGGTGTGAGGACATAGACCTGAAAGGTATCTCTTACCATAAGAACATCATAAGAAGCCAGTTGGGTGTGATAGCACACACATTTAATCCTAGCACTCCACAAGCAGAGGCACTTGGAGATCTGTAACTTCGAGGTCAGCCTGGTCTACCTAATGAGATGCAGGCCAACCAAGGTTATGTAGTAAGACCCTGTCTCAGAAGAAAACTCTTGAAAGTCTATCAAGGGTTAAAATATTAGATACAACAAAAGTAACTACTGTGTATAAAGTCAGAGATGAGAGAAAGTCTCATGAGAGCAATGAACGCAATCTAAAGGAAGAGGAGTATTAGCCTTTCTTTCTCTGAAGAAAGGAAGCATTCGGGCTTGTTTGAAAGGGAAAGCAACTGATAACGAAGAAAACTGGGAGAGAAAACCACACAGAGGCAAGTCAGATGCACAGCATCGAGAGCACACGGTCTTTCTGAAGGCATGCAAGCCGCGGAGCCTGGCTGGAGCCGTTTAGACGTAGTGCGCAAAAAAAGATGCTGGGAGGACAACAATGCGATCGGGATGTGCAGAGAGAGGGGATTAAATCATTGCTCCCACAAAGAAGGACAAAAGGACAGGATCTAGGTGTGCCCAGGGAGTTCTTACCAGTCATCAGCTGGATGGTGGAGCAGGGCACTGAGAATTTAGATGGGAGATGATGCTCCCATGTCCATCATCAAAATAGTCCAGATGAGAGGGAAATTCATATTCACTTAAATGAGTATCGATTTTAACACACAAGAGACAAAAAAGGCAGCCCATCTCATATTGATTTTCCTGGAAAGATATGGATAGAAGATAGGAGCTGCTATCACCTCCCAGCCTCCTTGTATCCGGTGGATTACAAAGCCTTCTGATCAGACTCTGACAACTCTCAGTCATGTTTTTACCTACATGGCAACATCGAGATGAGGAACAGAGCCATTTCCCTACACATAAATAATTAAGGGAAAATAAAGCAATGGCAAAAAGCAGGTTGGTAGGCAGGTAGAGAAGTCAATAAAAACATTCATGTTTCTTTCTAGAGCAGTGGTTCTCAACCTTCCTAATGTTGTAACCCTTTATACAGTTCCTCATGTTGTGGCGATCCCCAACCATAACATTATTTTCATTGCTCTTTTATAGCTATAATTTTGCTATGGTTATGAATAGTAATGTGTTTTAATTCTAAAATTTTTTTAATTTTTAATAGTAATCTGTATTTTCCAATGGTCTTAGGCAACCCCTGTGCAAGGGTTGTCCTGCTCCCAAAGGTGTCACGGGTTGAGAACTGCTGATCTAGAGCGAGTGAGTGGTTGAGGCACGTACAGAGATAGGTTAGAGGAACTCTACAGACAGGACTCAGATGGAGATGAAGGAGGCAAAAAACAGTGGGATGGTGAGACACAGGATTATCGTATCACCCTGAGTAATACTGTTGGGCTCTTCAAAGGCAGAAGACAGTGGGGATTGGACAATTGGACACATTGTTTAGAAGTTCCTAAGGGTCTGGTCTGGAACCAGAACTAAATTTAAAGCCAACGATAATCTGAAATCAAGGAGAAGGGTGCACTAATGAGCTGACAGGAGGGCATTTAAAGTAATAAAAAAAATTGGGATTTTTTTTAGGAAAAAAAAAGTTCTCAAATAACAAGAAGCACAGAAGTAGAATCACTACAAACAAGTAACTTAGAAAACTGTATCCCTTTCTTCTTCTGTATGGATGGATTGGCTTTTAATTGTCTGGAAAGATCAGGTTTATAAAACGAAATTTGTTACTATGGAAACGGGCTTTCAACATCAAACAGGCAGTTTGACCACAAAAAAGGTAATTACTTTAGTTTTCCCCTTAATTGCATGATTTCTTGCTTTTCAATAAGTGTGTATCCTGTTGATGAGAAATGTCCAGTCAATGAGGGCTGTGGTGAGCCAAGCATGAACACAGGTCTCCAAGTAACTTCCCAAGCTGGTGACCACTGGGTACCCAGATCCAGATGTTCTGGGACTTGATTACTAGGCATACTATCCGAGAATGAAACTCTCCCAATTCAAAGAACCACCCCCTTTTCTCCTATAAGCAGATCCCCTTAGTCAGGCACATAGGAATCTCATATTCTCCGTCAGTCTCTTTGAGGGTACAGTTCGAGTACCAACACTGTTAAAAGAGTAAATATATAGGATTTAAAGAAATATCAAAAGGTTAAAACTTTGTGGCAGTTCTGACAGTTTCCGTCTCTCCTTTAGATCACAATTCTGCCCTGGTCAACTTGGGACACCATCACGCTTAAATGACTCCACTTACCTTATCCAGAAAACTCTGTATGGCTGCCTCCTGGCTCTCCATGTGGGCGATACACCTGTGTCTCCCAATGGAAGCAATGATCTGTGTTTCCTTCTCCAGGAGTTCACACAGGGCAGCTTTCCTCTCCGCTTGGGTTAAATATTGGTCAATTTGCGCAGCTTCCTCTTGCCGCCAAACTAGAGGAATGGCAAGATGAAATAAGGAAAGGTTCCTGGGTGGTCAAAATCAACACAACTTTTTTAGAAATATATTTTTTATTTTTAATTATATTAATGTAACTAATTATATTTTTTAAAAATTTTTAATAATGGGTGTGGGGGGGGTGCTCATGAGTAGGATGATGTTGGAAGCCAGAGGTGTCGGACCGCTCTGGAGCTGGGGCTATAGGTGATTATGAGGCACTTGGTGTGATTGCTTGAAATCACACTCAGGGTCCAGCGCTCCAACACTGAAGATAAAATCATTTTGTAACACTCCTAACTCAGTGTTCTTAACAGTTCTCAACAACCAAGCCTCTTTCATTTACTTTTTCAGTTTCTACAGGTCTGGAGACTTTCTTTGATTTCCTCTGTCCTTCACCCTTTTCTCCTTTACTTCTTACTCCATCTTAGGGTCTGCTTCCCCAAGGACCAAAATATGGTTTGGACACAACAGTTTACATTACTTATCACATCTATTCTATCACTTACTGTTTCTGACAGAACCCTAAGCCACATCTAATTGTAGATTAACTGCATTATGTTATAATAATCCTTAAAGTGTTTTAAAACCCTGGTCAGTATAAATAAAGATGATACTGCATAAATATATTCCAAGACCATATAATAAAACTCCAAAGAGAAATAATTTAGTGAACCCATTCTATCAAAATATAGACCTACATCATCACATATGAATTTCTATATGATGTGTCAAACTTAAATCAAAGCTTCTAGACTCAGATATTGTTTTTAATAAAGATTCTATTCAAATTCTTATGCAAACCAAGTTTGGTGAAGAAAATTCTTTTTCACTTCACACTTCAAAACTGTCAAGCTTATCGTGACAGGAGCATCAGATAGGACATGGCCTTAGAAATTAAATTGCTTGATCCTACATTCGATCACACATCCTCCTCTCAGTGGCTTGGACAGGAATAATTTGACTGCCACAGAACCAATTTCTTGAGCTACATGCCATCCCTCTGGGCAGCTGAAGGTAGCACCTCGTGTCTCTCTTACATTTTCCCTTCTCAAGACATAAACACTTCCATTTTAAAATTGTACATTATGTGACATAATTTCCTCTCATATCCAGGTCGACCTTTGTCTGTCTCCTAACACACCGCTCAAAATATGCTGTCAAATTCTGTCAAAATAGAGGCTTAGGCACAACCTGCCACACGCTCTCCTGACCGAACTGACAAAAATATGAAGGACAGAGAAGGAGAACGATGGAAAGCAGCAACAGAAATAAGAGAAGCATGTGATGTGCCAATAGCATGCAGAATTCTCAGGAAGTGTAATGAAGGTTTGGGAAAATAAATTAAAAATGAATCCTCCCCAAAATTTGCGAACACTGTTTCTAAACTACTGCAGTATCATCTCAGAAAGTGGGTCTCATAGGCAAAGGTGGTAAATCTCAATTTGCCTGACTGGGAATTAGAGAAGGATGGACTTTGAAACCTGCTTTGACAGTCTCTGACATGTCTAAAGAGACTGTCTAACATTTTAAATCACAGCTGAAAACAGTGGTAACTATGTTGGTTTGTACAGGAAAGGAATTTTTGAAACAAAGTATAATAAAGGGGAATAAAGCAATGGGTAATAGGTTATGTTTAAAATATGAGATGATTATATTTACATATTAATGTGCAATTATATTATATATTGAAAATTTAAATACTAATCTGTTGCATTTTAAATAGAACAACTCTGAAGATTTCTTTTCTTTCTTTCTCTTTCCTTCCTTTCCTTCCTTCCTTTCTCTTTCTTTCTTTCTTTCTTTCTTTCTTTCTTTCTTTCTTTGAAACTGGGCTTCTCTGTGTAGCTCTGACTGTCCTGAAACTCACTCTGTAGACCAGGCTGGCTTCAAACTCACAGAGATCCACTTGCCTCTGCCTCCCTGAGTACTGGGAATAAAGGCATTTGCCACCACTGCTCAGCAACTTTGAAGATTTCTAATAGTTATCTTCATTTATGAGCGTGTTTGTGTGTGTGTGTGTGTGTTGTGTGTTTGCATGCATGTCCACAATAGACAGAAGAGGGCGACAGATCCCCTAGAGCTGGAGTTACAGAAGGGTCAACGGACAAAGATGAGAGCCAAATGCGAGTCCTCTGGGAAAGCAGCAAGCACCCTTCGTCACCGAGCCATCTTTCAAACACCCCAAAATAGAGGAATTTTGTATGATCCCAATGTCATGATATTCTCAAGAGGCATGTGAAACAAAGTGATACCAAAATGGACATGGAAAGTTGGCTGGGATAAGCAAAATGAAAGCAGAATCCATGTCATTCCTGTAAGAAACAGGATGGGAGAACTCAAACCCAGAACCTGACATGAGAGATCATTTCACGACTTGACTACTGTGAATGTTTACGCCAGAAATCATGTGGCCATGCCCCACCATCCACACACAAACACAGCTGTGGTGAGTTATGTTATGCTGCAGAAAGCAGGACAGAGTATAAATGGTTCATAAGCATTCCACACAAAGAAGCCTACTTGAACTGAATCAAGCCGATGCAACAAGTGATGTCATCTCTTGTCTTAGTGAAACGGGACCTGCCCAAGGACACACAGCTCGGGACTGGTAGTGTTATGACACAAGCTCAGGTAGTCCCGCTGTGTGGAATACACTCTTCCTTTAAAGCCAAAACCACAAAAGCGTTTCTTTTGAACACGAGAGTTACCAGTTGGCTCACTACCAAAGCTTCACTTAATCCAGTGGTCATCTAAGTCTTCCCTCTGCGTGGAAATAGCGTGTAAGTACAGTGTCGGTAGGATGTTTCTAAGGAAGCTCCCGGAACCTGTTCTGCTCACACAATCAAACCTATCTTTACTCGGGACTATAAGAAGCCCTTTCTCTTGAATGGCAGTTATACCTGCCAAGGTGTTACCACTTCTTCATTGATTCAGAACACTCACCAATGTATTGGTGGTTATGTAAAAAAAAAAAAAAAAAAAAAAAAAAATCTGTAAGATGCTAGCGCATATAACGTTAATGCCTTCTTCAAGGAATTAACACTTTTCCTAGCCTCTCTCCCATTAGATGGTGGTGAAAAACAGAGTTTCTGCTTCTCTTTCCATTTGTCAGCATGCCCTGCCCAGCATTTTCCACCACTGGGTTTTGAGACTTTGTTTGAATTGATGCATCCTGACATGCGAGTCCATGTCCTGTTCTACAGACATGATTCGAGCAGATGTACCCCCTCCCCTACTGTTGGTTACAGGCATGGTTACCTTCTTACAGGGCTGCAGGAATATTTCAAAATTTACTTCACGTATATGAACTTTCATAGTTAGAAAGTGTTTGCTTTCTATTAAAACTGCAGATTTACTTTAATCATCACTAGGAATTATAAACATCTAGACCCCAAGCGTGGGCCTTGACTTCTCTTTGTAGCCACTACCTTTTATAATACTGTGCTCTTCTATTTTATCAGGATATTTCTTTGTCCTCTCGTAGCTCCAGCTGAAACCACCCAGATCAGGTCCAGGATTGCCAGTTCAGTTCTTTGCTAGAACCTGCTCAGTCCTTTACAGACGTGCATTATTCAAATACCGCCCAGCTTGATCTATCCAGCAAGAGCATTTTGAAATGCAAAACCTAAATTATCTTCATCAAAGATTGTGAAATTTGAGAGCTAAATTATATTATGGAAATCCAGGAAATCTGTGATGGATGAGTTTGTTATTTAAAAGTAGCTTTACCAATCAGAATAAGAAATATGACAAACCCCAAATACCAAAAGGCAGATGATGAATAAAGGGGAATTGTTTGCTTCTAGAAATAATAACTGAGAACATTTATCTCACAGGATTACAAAGTTGCTCCCAAGAAGCAAATAAAAGCTGACTGACATTAGCGAGCCTATTTTATTTGTCATCTTTACCTCAAAAACACCCAGAGCCTAAAGTAAGTTTAGACTGTGAGGTTATTATCCAAACTGGTCTGGACACTTCAAGGAGGATGGATTATTCTCCTAGATCAATACTTAATACTTGCTGAAATCTAGAAACACGCATGTAGTTTCACATTTTTTAGCTTATTACTATGACATTTAAAGGATAATCTATAGGGCTAACTAAAAACAAAACCCAGTGAGTCTTAATTTTAATTAAAAAAAACTCTCCATTAGATAAAGATAAATAATGTCCCAGCCACCAAAGAGGAATAGAAGTCGCAGGGCAGAGACATCTGAACTACTCCCAGGAGGTACGGTGTGTGGAACCAGGAGGGAGACTTCCTCTTTTGGTGACATGTGTTCCCTGGGGACGATAGCGAGAACAATGAGGAGCACTGAGATGCAGTGTGGTTTCCTAGGGCTTCCGTCACAGAGGTCACGCAACGCTTGATACATTAAGGAACAAAATCTCATTTCCTGACCGTTCTGGAGGCCATAATCCAAGATTAAGACACTTTATGGGTCATTTGCTCCCAGGGCCTCTCTTCTGGGGCCATTTCCTCCTAGATCTCTGCCAATACTCCACCAACCAAATATTTCTAGAGGACACCAGTCCTTACTGTGTTAACACATGCTCATATACCTATTTATTTTTCTTTATTGCCTCTTTAAAAAACACACACATCACCAAATACAACCACACTTGAGGTACAAAGAATTCAGATGTCAATATAAGAATTTTGAGGGAACACAATTTCAACCAATAAAGAAGCCAGTAGCTACAAATAATTTTGAGGCAAAATATATCAAAGAAATTGGCTAATTGGAAATAGTAAAGTTAATCTAGCCCTTAAACTTATATTCTTAGACAAATTAAGGCGGCTATCTATATTCCATATTCACTCTGAAACATATTATTTGAACTTCTTATCTCTACGCAAAAAATCTCAGCAGTTACTGCAGTTTGTCTTCCATGGCCCACCACGGGCATCCATATTGTAAAATTCACATCATACACTGAAAGCCGAATGACCTGAAAAGAGTCAACATACACCTATCAAAACTGCCAA